ATCCAGCTCCTCACACCCTATTGGCATATTCATCGCCCTGATGACGGAGGCAGTATGACCTCTGAAACGTTGGTTAACATCGACCAGACTACACAGCGCAATAACCCAGAAGACAGAAATCTTCGATTAATAATTATGTCTGTACATTTTAGTGACCTATTTATGTGTATGATTTCCAGGAGCACAGCCTACAAGTGAAAGTAGACTTCACTTATTCTTAGTGTCGGAAGTGGTTGTCGGTCTTCTTCTTAAGTTATGTTAAGTTAGGTTAGTCCGCGAGCTGTGTCGTACGGAAGAGGGAAAAGGTCTTCGGGAGGGATCGGAATGCGTAGCGAAAAGAAATGACCAAATCCATAGAAATATGGGTTACATTTAAAGTGTTACAAAAAATATATATCACAAATTTAACGTAGTAAGAAAACTTCACAGCTTTTAATTCTACAAAAAATTACCTTCGCAATAGCCGAATATTTTTAAATACGTATTATCGAAAAATATCAGGACGCTATATTAAGTTTTGCTAGCCTTGCTTCCACCTCCGAAGTTCGCAGTATCACCACGTTGGTGGTATTGATAAAAGTAATTAGATTTACTTTTAGTGACATGACGTATATGTACGAGTAATGAAAATCCGTTTGTTGGCTCAATAGTTGTTAGGAGGGGACAGACAAACACTTATGATAATAAAATAAATATTACTTTTATAAAATACGCAACTTAAGTTAATTGGAACCAATTTAAACAAGAAAACGTTTTCCAAATCTCAGTCAAACCTAAAAGAAAATATGTAGGTACGCATTTGATTAATATTAATTAAAGCGAAAATGTCAATAAACATTCCTACGAGTTTCACTTTTCATTTCATTGATAGTGAAATGTCAGTGAGACTTTTGGCACTATTTTTGCAAGGAATATTTTAGAACCCGGAAGTCTGTGTGAGTATATATATATATATATATTCCTTTTTATATGAATTTTACTGTAACATTGGAAATTCCGCCAGGCCACAGATTGCTAACGACTAGTTTTCACTGTCAGCTTCCCTTACACCTCTTCCTGACATGCGACATACATCATAAGGATAGTGACTGTTTTTTAAAGTACTTTGCTTCCTTTCAGGTAGTCCTCTGTTCTTCAAGATACGAAATGATGGACGCACGTTAAGACGTATAATCCAGCCCATTTCTTTTTGGTTTCTGTCGTAACTTTGTACATAAAAGAAAGATTTTCATCCGTTTGAGGGCAGAAATTTCCCTCTTAAAACACGAGTCGTTTCATTCTCCGACCGGTTCTGTAGCTAGAAATCTGACCATTCTACGTAATAATACTCTGGAGTTGCAGAGGGTCTTCAGATCTCTTAAAGGAACAATTCTATAGTAATGGGCATATTTGATTGCCCAAAAAAGAACATATCTGAAAACACATTCTGTGCCCAAAACATATAACATTTATGTGAGCGCTTGACAAGCGTCACATATTTATAGTTAATTTTAAAATATTTAGTTCTAAATTGTAGACAATTTTGGAAATCCATTTGAAAATCAGAACAACCTATGTAAAATTTGCTTGTTTTTTATATGAGTTTGAAACTTAGTTTCTCATTCCAAGGTAGAATATAAACTGGAGATAATTAAGAACTAGAAGCTAAGGTAAATATTTCGACTTAAGAAAAAAGACAAAGTAACTGATCTTCAGATAGAGAATCTATTTTGTAATGTGTTGTTCTATTCTGTATAATAAACAATTTTGTTTGGTTGGTTGCTTAACTGTGATTATTTGCTGTCGAGGATTTTGGGCCTTATGCGATAATATTTATACATGTGTGTGTCGTTATAAGCATTGCTGCCATCCATGGCATGGTGGTAATTTTCTGTTAATAGATTGTGTGCTTTGTTGAATAACATAACAGGTACCCAGGTAATAATGTTAATGGATTTACAGTACATGTAATGCAATGCAACACAGTCATTACATCCTCGATATAAGACCATGTTTAAGATTACGGTACATAAAATCTTACTATGTTCTTTAATTAATCAAATATAAATACTGGTATTAATTTTTTGTACACTATTATTTAATTTTAATTCTTGTATGTCGCTATATGGAAACAATGCTATGAGAAAAGACTGTTGACTCATCCATTGCCTGTTATGTTCATATACTTCTATACATTGTAGCAAAACTTTTTTATATGTTAACAATTCACAGCTTTCATAATTAAGCAAAGATAATTAGGCCAATGGTTTTCAGTACAATGTGTTTCAACTACTACGATAGATTTCTCCGTCATTCTTAAATGACAATTCTCTAGCAATGTAGATCACTCCCGCTTTTTTCCCCATACATTTCGAAATTAAACACATGTAGTGACCCTACCACTCGACTCTGCTTTACATATGCAGTTTAATACAAAAGAATAAAGTGTTGTAAATAGCGTGTTATATGAACATTTTCCAGACATTCTCAAGAAGAAAAACAATTCATTAACGATGTATAAAGTGCCTTGCTTCTACCTCAGTGTATTCAATTTGCTCCACGAATATCCACCGACAAATTTAATCGATACAGGTAGATGAAAGGCCAAGAATGGCGTAGTAATTTTCCTCTGAAAGGACCAGTTGACAAGAGAAATTAGTAAAAGTGTTAAATATAAAATTCATTCGTGCAGACAATTGAAAGATCTCAACATTATCAGCCAGGAAATTATTCCTGGAAATTACCAATCAATTTTCTTTTCAGTTGATTGGATCGGTATTATAAATCACGTTGAATTTATATTAACTTTGATGGATTCTAAATTAAATATAAATACGAGACTTATATAATTTGACGTACGTACGTCATTCGTACGGATAAGTCTACAGCCTTGTGTCATGTTTTACACTGTGATGCATACAAACAGTGTTTACTAATTCCTAGCCTGAGACACTTTACAGGTTATTTAGGCTTTGTAGCTGGGTTGGAAATATCAATGTCCACACAGTGAAGGTGAGAACAGCCAAGGGGCCTGTTTGCTTATTATACGATGCCGAAGGGAACTTGTCGGTGTTAATTGGGTCATTTCTTTATCGTCCCACTCTCAAACTTGCTTCGTTTTTTAAAGTTTCGTCGATTCTTGTTGTATATTAAGTATGATAAAGGTTTTCATTTGGTATATTATAGAAAAAGGAAACAACACGAGGGTGGAAGTGTGCAGGGTTTGAAATTTGTTCTTAGAGACGTAGAATGAGGAATTGGATACTGGTCTTAACCGGCTCAAAATTTGGATCCTGTGGTGGGCTTCTGTGACCACGCTGATGAAAACTCAGATTTTATAAGAGTCCGAGTTCTTTGACCAGTTTTTCAAAGAAGGCTCAACAAAATAAAGCCACGTAAGACAAAAATTTCGTTTTGGTTCATATTTAAAAGATCACCATATTTATGCTGTTATAATTTTTGCAAAACTTCCGTTGCTCAACATTCTGGAAACAGAAATTCTGTGTGGAGCTGAATCTAATATACAGGAGTATAATTACACTTAAAATTATTCATTGTCAGGAAATTTTCCATAGTCTGTTCTTTAAAACCACGACGTTTCGGAGGCTGGTTCTGTCTCCGTATTCAGGTGAGAGGTCCCTCTTTTAGGTCCCTTAGATAGAGATAGTCTCTGTCACCCAAGTACAGGTTCTGTCAGTAGATTATAATACTTAAATGATAAAATAAAATTGTAAGACCGCTCATACAGGACCAGCCTCCGAAACGTCGTGGTTTTAAAGAACAGACGATGGAAAAGTCCTGACGAATAATTTTAAGTGTAAACTACTGTCGTCAAAACCCTTTAGAAAGGAGTATGATTAATTTTTAAGAAATAAAATCTTTACTTCGTAATGCCCGTATGTGTTTATTTGGATTCAGTGACCCATTATCGTCATAGAGACCGTAAAACTTACCACAAGAAATTGTCTTTTATTCTTCCTATTTGAAATCTAGTTCGAAATATTTTCTTCTGTATTATTTCAGCAATATTACCGACATGGCAGTAACTCCTATTTAGAATGTACGGGGTTCATATCCTAATCGGAGAATAATCAGCCTGCTCTTAATGATTTTTGTTCTTACTTAGAAACATATCAGCAGAATGATACATGTAGCTAAGCAATGTCCACATCTTCCCGTTTTTTGCAATTAATAAACAACGTAATATATCCCTCGATGCTAAATATCTAAAGCAGTTGGAACGGCCTTATAAACAAAGAGACTGCACAATAATTAAACTATTTTCAAGAATGTAATGTTGAAAGGACTGCTGTTTTCTGTTTGGTAAATTTATCGTATTAAGATCAGACATAGCGCCGTAACATCTAATTTTCTTCATTTAATTTAAGGTTACTGCCCCATTTTTGATATTTTGACAATCCTGCCAGGTTCCACGCCACATATGTGCATCTTCCAATTTTCTGTTTCCCTTGCAATAGTTTGTTTTTCGCTTGACTATTACACGCCCTCTATCGCCAAATTATATCTGTTATTTCTTACAGTCGTTCCCATGTTTTATGTACCCTCGATGGTAGAATGTTTCCCTTTATTCTACGAACGTGCTCTTTGCAGACTTTGTTTATTCGACGTCGTGTCCTGTGACGGAGCATGCGCATTGACTTCCCGTTCTCTCAGTGCTTCGCGTCGCATTACCTGTCAGTAGCGTCCTGACCGACGTTTTGTAAACAGCAGGCAACTGCATTTCCTACGCTGCTCTAGTTACAAGTCCGCGACAGTGCTGCTTGTAGATCAACTAGTCTGCCCAGAGATAGTGGACATGATTAATCTCCAGTATCTTAATAAGCTTTTACAACGGGTACTGGCAAGTTGAAAGGCTATTAGATTGCGTTGTTCTGAACTTAACGTAATATCTTGCATGTATGTTGTGTTTTTCGAGCGAAATTAATACAGGTGCTTCGTGCAAAATACCGGAAGAAGAAAAATGCCCTTGTAGACAGACTACAAGTGGTTAGTCAGTTGTTTCTCAACCTTTCCTACGTGGCGTTGTATTAACGTAACTTCCAGTAACTCATAACCAGGCATATTATGCCGTATAGAAAAATTGTGTGTGTATGTATATGTGTTTGTGTGTACGTATGCATGTATGTGTTTTATTTTTACATGCACATAAGCTATGATCACGTTGGTCCTCATTACATGTTATCACTTTGATTATACAGGTGACTGTCGTTATACGCACTTTCGCTGTCTGCGTTTTGTTTCAGTATTATTAGAAGCATTAATATCTTAACCGTGGTCAAATTTTAAAGACTATTTCCTGCGCCAAACGTTTTCCACCCTTATCAGGGAATGTGACGCAGATGATGCTTGGCGTTCAAGAATTCTGGCGGCATTTTAACGTGAAAAAGGTGGTTATTATGAAGTCTCAGTTTTACGCTTTTTTGTTATGTATATAGACAACTTATTCTTAAAAAATTTAAAATATGTTTACTTGTACATTATTTTCAGGAAGGCCTGAAATAAAAGTGACAGAAGTAATGCCATTTTAGGAAGGTTCTTAAAAACATTAAGTGTTAAATATAAACAAAAGTTAAATAAATGAAGACAGCAGAAACAATTTTATCGCAAACCGAAAAAATTAAATTCGGGGCTGAAAAACATTTCAATGCTGTAATTGCACTTCTTGATCTGTTGTTAAATGTAAAAAGTCTTTTCTAATTCATGATAAGATTAAAGGCACGTCGCTTAAGAAGCCGTGGTTTAATTAACGTTATCACATTTGTTCCCAGACTCTGGACGGAATTTATAAATATGTAGTTCTTCAATTTAGCACGTAGAAATAACATCGTCTACAGGTCTAAAAAGTCAAACAGTATCAATTCTGAAAATGTCTGCCCATTGGGTTATTGCGCGGTGTATTCTGGTAGAAGATTACCGACAGGAAATCTTGACCTTCATAATGGTAGCATCAGGCATCTGTAAAACGTCGATGAACTTGTACCAGACTACAGGGCGTAACAACACAGCAGACAGCCATCTTCATTCATAAACGTGTCTGCCATCTTGTTTTATTATGTAATTCGATCTCTTGCTCAGAGGGATGGATATAATTGAAAGTTAAGGTGCTCAGGAAAATAAAGCCAATGAGCAGATTAAGATATTTCAAAACGAAGACATTCCTGATTTGTGCAGATCGTGAATTGCTGTCAGGTTAGTTAATAAACCTGGAGCTTCTGAGGTGAGAACTAAAATTTGCTGTAGTGAAATATATTAAAAAAATAAACACTTTTTGTTACGGTAACATTTTGTAGAATGTAACCAACATCATCACAGTGAAGCTTTCGGTTCGTTGACGAAAATGAACCACTGGAATTAGGCAGTTTAGTGTAGAGGTGGATCATAAACATGTCTACAAACTGTGTATGGTTACATTTTATACAGTATGACCTACGAAACGCCTGCAAAACCTTTCTCTTTTTGGAGGGGGTGAGAAATATTATATCAACATACGTATACAAATGAACCTTAAAAATGAAACTCAAATTTGAGTGACATTATTTCAACTGAAGAAGCGAATCAGCTACAGGAGAATGTTATTACTCATTTTTAACGTCCGTTGTAACTTAACGTATTTAAGTGGCTTGTTCTAAATTATTTCTTGTACTGGATAAGCGAAAGCCAGTTTATTTTAAAACAGATCGTGTTGTTTCCCGTTTGCTTTTATCATTGTATCGTGTGAGAAGTGCATCGTCTATAATGTGCTGTAAGAGTTAATGAAGTTTCCGTGATGTCTGGCGACGGGGTGGCGAGACCTTCGGACCTACGACCAATCCAACGAATTCTGCAGCACCTGTTAAAGCAGTGTTTAGACAGAAATGAGGTTGAGCCCCGGTTTGTTGCACTCGCATGTTTAATATGCCCTGGAGAGGAACGTCTTCGAAAATAAGTGGTAGCTCGTTCTGTAGGAAATGTCCCTGAAGAACAAATGGCTCAGTTGGTCGTCGATAAGACCACACCACACGTGCAAGTACTCCGAATGTGTTTTATTTTTTTTTGGGGGGGGGGTAATGTGTGTTAATTTTAATTATTGGTGTCCGGTATTTTGATGCTATAAACAGCAAATTAATATAAAATATGTAAAGAAATGTATCACCATATCTTATCATTGTTACGGTATATACAGGAATACCTCGTTTTATTGCGCTTCGCAGATATTGCGTTTTTTACAAATTCAAGGTTTGTGGCAACCCTGCGTCGAGAAAGTCTGCGGCGCCATTTTCTCAACAGCATGTGCTCAGTTCGAGTCTCTGTGTCACATTTTGGTAATTCTCTCAATGTTATCGCATTGTTTTTTTTAGACATAATGCTATTGCACACTTAATAGACTACAGTATAGTGTAAACATAAGTTTTATATGCAGTGGGAAACCAAGTAATTCGTGTGACTCGATTTATTGCGGTGGTCTGGAACCTAACCCGCAATATCTCCGAGGTATGCCTGTAACCTACTGTGACATTTGAAGAGAAACAAGCCACTTAAATCGTACGCAGGACTTTGTGCTTTGTTTGAGACGCCAGTTTTATTCGGATATCTTCCTGTAGTATGACCATCCAAATGTCTATTAAGTTTGATTTTTCACGCTTGTATTTATATATTCATTTATTGTTAACAATTGTTTTGTCGATTTTGAAACTATGTTTCAAGCACTCTTAATTATAAGCATCAATATATCTAATATCAACTAAATGTAGTAGTGTCCTTGTGAGGTAACATTTGCTCATGTAGGATTTGAGGTTTTCACGGCGGTGAGTCTGAAGATGGCTGTCTTACGGGTTGTTGCGCCGTGCTCAGAAATTCTTGACATTTATTTCTTTGCAGTATCAGCTCTTTATGGAATCAGAAGGTTCATTGTTTTTATAAAAAGAGCACACTAGACCGTATCCTGAGATGTGATAAAATATATTCTTCTTATAATAATTATTAGGATAAGAATACATGAAGATTTCTGTCTTCTGGGTTGTTGCGCCATGTAGTATGGTAGATGTTTATACTCACCGCTATGAAAACCTTAAATCATACATAAGAATACATTTCTCGATATTCAGTTTAGAATGTGTTAGTTCATTTTTATTTATATTATTATAGAAATAACTCCGTTGAACCCTTGTGTTATTCATATAGAAGCCAATCATTTCTCATCTCTGTTATTACGATCTGTTATCGTTTCGTTCAAAAATACTGTTTATTTTATTGAGAGTGTCAGGAAAAATGGCAATCAGTTAAGAATCTCGCCTCTGAAATAGTCTTATCACGATATATTTTATCATTACGCGCCTGACATATTGTAGAATACTAACTGAAATAGGCCACGACTGATTTTTTACACTCTTTTAATCTATTCTTCACAATCATCTACAATTCGGCGGTGGCGCAATCTGAAAACAGACGGTAATTAACTCAAGAGTAAATAATTTAACATTGATTGACTATGAATTATATCGCTGTATGATCAATATGGCTTTAAAAAAATAATATTTCTGACTGACGAAGATAATGAACAATTTTGGTCTCGTCATATGAAACATGATAAATAGGACCAAGATGCAGGGTTTATATATGAATGCGTCTTAATATTTAACGAAGACAAAATAGCAATAGGACTATTGTTTATTTGTATAGCAGTGGGAAAAGTAAGGTGACGTAGAAAGTGATCATCTTCCTACGTGCGCATGAATTACGATAAATTGATTTTAATTAAGTTTGGTATTGGGGAATTCTATGAAAAAATGTTGAACCATTTCAGATGGGGAAATTTGATTATTTTTGCCTTACTTGGATAAACACGAGCAAGAAATATGATCAATTTATTGTAGCTCACTTAGATAAACATTAACTATATTATTAATTAATTAAAATTGATAATTGTGATTAAATGACGTCATGTCATTATTTATGTAGATCAACGTAACCGTCTCCATAATTATTTAGAGGAGAAAATGAAAGGAATAACAATGAAAGGTAAAATGTGAAAATAAGGTCACTAGAATTATAACAATTCAGAGAGGCGAAATAATTATAACAGTATTTGTTAAGTGAGAATGAACTTAGAAACCAAGTAAAAGTGTTGCTGAATATTATATTTTTAAATAAGTAGTTGCTCAATATACTTTATAGAGAATCAGTACAGAAATACGTCACTAATTCGGATATTAGAAAATTCGGACTCTCTTTCTGTTCTACTTTATTTGAATTCTTCTTATAATTTGGTTTGTAATATAAAAGTTGTCTATAATTTCCTGTTTCTTTTATCTAATTTATATTCAAGTACAATGCTTCAACATATGCTGGTAGAATGTAAATCAATTAGCGTGTATTAACTACGATTTGAAAATAATCACCTAATTTTTTTCTGTAATTTGGGCCTTTTACTAATTCATTCTCATTATTCAGAATCCGCGAGGTTTTACTGTCTTAACAAATATTAATGAAAGGTGCTCTGAATACGTTTAATTTATTCAACTGATATCTGATAGTTATAAAGTAAAGGATTCAACACCGCCTGATCAGCAAGTCGGAAGACGCACAATAAAACAAAAGGAACGCATCCAATCTTCCTCCTTAAGAACCGTCAACGACTGATCCCCCGAATGTTACAGAAATAAAACGAAGATTTCCTGGCCGTTCTCGTATTACGATGTGTGCACACTCTACCAGCTGTCATTTGCAGATAAGAGTTGATAACGCGCTGAACCTCTTAGTGGGGCTATGGAATGGGTGACTGGTTGGTCATCAGGAGATGATACTATCAAGTATCGATGAAAGAAGAAGAAGAAAAGGCAGAAGACGTGTCCGACTCCAACGGTGTGAGGTGGTAGTAGTAATCCGAAATTTTTGTGGAAACACGAAGAGACAAGTAGAATGACAATCGATCAGATGCGATAAAAGGAACTCGTAAATTTAAGCCTGTGGCTGCATTACTTCATCACTCAACTATCCTTAATCGGTGTGTTAAGAAATGTAACAGTAGTGTATAGTAATGGGCAAATGTGTATAAAAACTGTTGTAAATTTCAATAACTTGTGTTCTCCATGGAGTGATTTTATGAATTTAGTTTAGCTCTCTGAGCAAGTATTATGGCATACTGCATTTTAGGGTTTCGAAGGTTCGATTGTATAGGTTTTTAAGATTACTCATACGAGTAGTGGATGTTTTTCTCTTCCAATGACGTTTATGATTAAAATTTTGGTCTGAACCGTGCGTTGTGTATAAGATTACGATGATGGACAGAAATTAAAGTAGGACTGGGAGGTTAAATGATAATTTTAAACGCCATAGAACAGCATTCTTAAATCCTATGCAAATAAAAAAAATATTTAAATACGCCGTACTCGTTCCCCCCACACCCCTCGAAATTAAATTTTTATGATTTCCTTTGAGATAAATTTGATACTACTTTTTTATGACTAATATAACGTCGTTTAATGTCCCCGAAAAGTTTCCTTTTTCAGCGGTGTAGGTGTTTCTCTGAAAGTGTGATCATACACAGAAAGACCTGACTTGTTAATGCTTTTCAAAACGCAGGCTGTAGTACTGATTGAATATATTAGGGTCTATATGAAACGCGCTAAGTACAGCTGTTCTTTCTTTATAACATTGTCTTTCAACCTACCATTTCATTTTAGTGTTCTTATCATTTTAAATAATGAAATAGCAACTAAGTACGATTTGAGGTTCTCAAGACAATGAGTCCGA